AAAGATATCAGAATAATCAAGAACCCATACTGGCAGCAAACAGCATGCATGCGCATAGGGAACGAGTTCAGTGAATATACAAAAATAGAAAAGTGTGTAAGGCAAGGATGAGTCTTCTCACCTGACCTGTTCAACCTATACAACGAGACAATTCTGAGAGAATTGGAAACCCTACCAGGATTCAGCATTGGCGGCCACAATCTTAACAACATAAGATACTCAGATAACACAGTACTGATAGCAGTTTGAAATTACAAAATCTCCTACAGAAGGTAGCGACGGAGAGTGAGAAGAAGGGACTAAGCATAAACTACAAGAAGACGAAGTGCATGGTCGTCAGTAAGAGGATGAGCCCGAAAATGCAATTTGAAGGTCGGGAACACTAGAATCAAGCAGACGCGGAAGTTTAAATACCTGGGAAGCGTCTTGACAGAGGACAGTAAGTGCGACACTGAGATCCGGAGGCGTATTGGGATGGCCAAGGACACATTCCAAAAGCTGGGCAGAGTACTGCAGACAGGAGGATATCTTTGGTAACAAAGAAATGATTACTGAACTGTTACGTGACATCTGTCTTTCTTTAAGACAGCGAATGTTGGACGATTTCCTCAAAGATGAAGAAGAGACTCGAGGCGACAAAGATGTGGTTCTGCAGAAGGATGATAAGGATATCGTGGACCGAGCGTGTGAGCAACGATGAGATCTTAGAGAGGTTGCAAACAAGGAGGAGGCTTATACTTAACATCAATTCGACATTCCAACCTCCGAAACGTTGTAATAAATATGGCAATAAAGATAAGGACAATAGTCCGAATAATGTAAATAGTATAAAAATACTTTAGTCTTTCCTCTTATTAATAACATAAACTTTTTCATGATAAAGCTTTGTTTTTATTAAGTTTGGGGCCTTTTTTCATCACGCTATGCTGTTTTTTCGGAAAATTATTGAATATCCCCATATATATATATATATATATATATATATATATATATATAGTACTCGATGACTTGTAATTGTGAGCCTTTTATCATTAAGTACACGTGCCCCACTTATTGGTGTACTAATGTACCGCCTCGTTTATTTTTGGTTGCTTACGAGGAATTTTCTCTAGTCTTAATAAATTAGGTATTAACTTTAGTTGCGCAAAGCATTTTACTGATAGTGATTATAATTTTAACAGCAATGGCTTTTAATTTCAGAATATTCTTCAGTTCAGGATATTTCTGCTAACGCGAATTCAAAACTGCTTCTTCAATATGAAAACTTTATGACCTCACAAGATAAAGCCCAGTTTTTATATAATTTCAGTGTTTTGTTACTTTGTGTGCAAATCACCTATTGTGGTAAATTAGTTCAACGTGACATTTTTTTTTCTTTTAAACTGGGAATAAAGTTTCAATTCTCATTTCAACACTTTTTGCTATAAAATATTTCCATCTTCACTAAACACTTTAAAGACTATAAGTAAAAGTAGCTTTTCATCATCGGACTGTAGGCATAGGAGTAGATAGTTTTTTGCCTATCGTCCCGTTCACACTCCTTCCTACTCTATACTTCTACCGTCTCTGTCTGAAATCTGAATTTTCACTACTCATTTATTTTTTCCTCGCACAGTATTAAATAGATAAATTCGCCTATCGTCGTGTTCATATTCCTCCTCGATCTTTTGAGGAGTACAGGTTTATCCGTTGATTAGGATGGCGTTTCTGATCCTTTCTAAAATCTACTTCAATTATATACTTCTAACATCTCTGCCTGAAATCTGAATTGTTTTTCACTAATTATTAGTTCTTTTTCTCCTCGTCGAATAGGAGTAGATAGGTTCCCCTATCGTCCAGTTCATATACCTCCCCGATTAGATAGGCTTTTCAATGTTTTCTCTCTGATCGTCTTGCATTAAATATGTCCTGTGAGTGTAAAATTTTCGAAGCCCACCTTCCGCATTATGTACTCTAGAAATTTCAACTGCCACGTTTTAATGCTACATATACGCGTCCTTTTTGTTTCCATTTTATCTAAAACATTGGAAATGCTCACATGTTCAGTCGATGAAATTCTCAGTATCCTTCTGTAGAACCATATTTTTGTTAAGCACGTTTAAATAGGACTTTATATACGAATGATTACATGTTTAAATATATTGCTACCTCCATTATAAGCGACACAACGCAGTAGGAAACTACTTAACAATCAACCCGCGTGCTGGGTAAGTCAAGTGTTATTTATCATTGAATAAATAACATATTTCCCGCGTATTTTCAAAACAAATATAATATAATCTCATCATTCAGCTTCTGACAAATTAAGAGATAAGGTAGATTTTCGATTTTCTCTCATCATTTCTCTGATAGAAACATTAGACAGCCACCAAATCACTGTGCTTCTCGTTTTACGTCTCTTGGTCTCTGTACTGTGATGAAGTAAAATGATTAGATCGAATCAATTGCTAAGTCTGCTGATATGAAAGTCTGCTCACCATGTCGTGCTAGACAATTCCCTCATCAGAATTACACATTTATATCTCAATATGTTTACCATTCGACGGACATCGAATATTGATGCAACATTTGGTCTAGCGCTCCTGCCATATATCTAGATTCCTGACAAAACCCAAATAAGAATCAGCAATGATATTGATTCTGACCTGACGTCTCGGCTTCAGTTACATTCAGTTACATCCCCATCACCGTAACGTAGCTTCCCTGTGTATTTTCTATAAATATTTCCACTGTAATTATTCTGATGAGCTTTCCTCGTAAGTACCTCAACTTCAAGAAGTTAAGCACAATACTCGATTTCAAATCATTGAATGTAAATAAAATTATTATCTTCAGTCTCCTTGAATTCTGTTCTTTTATTGTCCTTTCAGTTTCTTTCACTCTCAGTAACCCCTTACATCTTAGTGGCTTTATAGCCTTGCTTAGAGTGAAATGATTAAAAAACAAATTTATGTTAACCTACTGCATCTTTCTTAATTGATTCTATTGCTTTGACATGAGAAACCTTTATTAATTAATATTTGGCTTACCCAACATTAGAATAAGATTTAGAAATTCAGATTGACTGGACTTCAAACCGCCCTCTTTGCGCATACGTTCTTCTGGCGCTGTTTAGCATACGCGCTTCTTTCTTTTAATCTCCGTAATTTTCAAACTGATTCTATTCTTATAAAATGACATAATCTTGTTATTTAGTAGATTAGTAAAAATGACCGTAACAACGTAATCTGAAATCCAAATTGACTGAACTTCATAAAATTATGGAGATTACTTGGTTGCATATTGGTGTAGGTGTGTATATTTGTTCACATATGATAAACAAAAAAGAAGCATATACAAACTTGGGTTTTATAAAGGACTGTTTATTCTCTTTTTTTATTATATAAACTATAGCGAAACAAAGTGGGCAGTGATTGTTAACCGCATAGTGTGCCTCAAAATATTGTCAGACATATGTGTGTGTGTGTGTGTGTGGAAGTAGTAATGGTACAAGGTCAGTATTTGAATAAATGAGTAAGTATTAAACTATTTTTTCGAATAATTCTTTTTACTATTCTTCGATTATGTCAAGTTCATATTTGTGTGTGTATTTTTTAAAAAAATCTATGGTTTTTATGTCATAACATTTAAATGTATGACCTTTAAAAATGTTGCTAAATGTGCCGTGATATTTTTATTTGCTCTTAGATGCGAGAAATACTGCTCTTAGGTATGTTCGTTTTCTTTTTGGTCCAGTAATTACGGTAGATAAGTGTAAGCATCGTATTAATGGTCGAACTCAAATCAGCCTTGCGCTGAGTTGAAGTAACCAACGGAAAAGGTTGACTTACTTGATAGGTAGAGGTTTAGGAAGACACGTGCAAACACCATGCGTTGGAAAGAGTCAATCTTCAGTGGACCGAGGAAACTAACGTGCTCCAGCGGGACCTTCTGTTTTCCAGGTAATGCTACATTTTGAAACAAGTGGAAGAAAGAGCGCAAGGTAGGAAATGTTTATCTTTTTATAAATTTCAACAGCGCCGCCTAACAGCGTTTGATGACGCCAAGTGGGATAATCATATTTCCGGTTCTTTTACTCTCAGCCTCATGGGAAAATGTATTTATTTTTATTATTTATTATTACTATTATTTTATTTACCAATTTTATTTCGTTTTTCCCTCACCGTTCTTTTTGTAAGATAAAATGGCCATCCGTTTTGTGACATTGTTTAACATACATTTCCTTTCTTCTTTTACTCCACGAGGAAACTGTTCAAGGTTGGTTCAACGGAAACTGTTCAAGGTGTGTCATGCACTAATAATATTAGATTTTTACACAGAGAATACAAAACATTTGATCTAGCGCTTCTGCTATGAATTTAGAGATTCTGGTTAAAATCCGAAGAATCTGCTAAGTTATCGGTCCTGACCTGGCATCTCGGCTTCATTCACTTCCCACTTCTGTAATGTAGCTCCCATGTACATTTTTCTATAAATACTTTCATGATAATTATTCTGATGAGCTTTCCTCTTCGGTACCTAGATTATAAATTTAGGCGCAGTACTGAATTGGCAGTAAGGTCTTATCGTTTTACAGTTGAAACGACTAGGTGTAACCGTAAGTTCTATGCTAACATTTTCTTTTCTCGCACTTCTCGCGTGTGGCGATATCTTCTGGCTTCGTACTTTCCAGTCAACTTTGATCTTCAAAAATTTAAATCCAATGTCAATTGTTATCTTTTGTTTTCTTATTTCCTGTTCTTTTATTGTCCTCTCTCCTTAATAATGTTTTCTTTTCTCATATTCTCTCATACTCAGTAACCGCATGACTTTATCACCTTGCTTGGGGTGAGATGATTAAAAACCAAAGTATTACCCTAGAGATATAATACTTTCTGTCATCTGTTATTACACTAAATATCTAAATTTTTGTACTGAATAAATTTGGAGGTTCTAATGTGTAAGTTACATCTTGAACTGTCCCTTATACTCACCACCATGCATTATGTCTTCTTAAAATTCATGGGTTCTCGTACGATCACAAAAGTTAAGCAAATTGGAGCCTGGCCAGTATCTAGATGGGTGACCGCTCGGAAATACCAGGTGCTGTAAGCTTAGATGTGCGGATGGTGTAATGGATAACGGCTCTAAATTGGATATCGGAGATCCGAGTTCAGATTCCACAAGAATTAGTTATATTCACTTACACGCAAATACCCTTGGGAAAGGCATGAATCCATCTCTTCTTCGTCCAGCTATGGGCTAATTAGTTGGATTTGTATCAGTAAATCCTCATTATCTAAAACAAATTCTCACAATCTAAAACTTTTTCTGTTTTTAAATAACCGGCAAAAGGTTGATAAGCCATAAATCAATCTTACAATTAATAATCATTCCTTTCTTCCTTTCTTGAACTATTTCCTCTATAGCAAGTGTTGACATTTATTTCTTTCCTATCCACCCCAAACAGCACGGTGACTTTTTTTAGTACTTATTTTTCTTTACGGTACAATTATTTTGTATCAAGAATAAATAATTGACCACTAAATTTATAAGTTGAGAAATTCATTCTGGCACGACTAGCTCAGAAAGTACTTTTATTTGGAACAAAAGGTTATTTTTATTTTGTTTCCTGTTCCTTCTTGATAACGACGATAATTACTCTTCACAACTTCCTATCCTTTGTAGCTCCTTGTAATTTTTGTTTTACTATCCCTCCCAGTTGTCACTTTGCCATCCATTTTTACAAGATTATTATAGAGGTTACTCGCTGTTTCCCCGTTTGCCTTCAATATACCCTGTAAGTGTCAAATTCTCCAAGCCCTCTTTCTTCATTATGTAATCCAGTAATTATGCATCATGCTACAGAAGTAATATGTAGTATAATGGGTTATAAGAGTCATAAACAAAGGTTACTTTTTCTTTTATGTACCGTGTCCTGTCAAGATGTGGGCGATTTTGGCTCTCCACTGCTTCCTGTCTTTTTTAGCTCTTTTATCATTTTACTATCCTGTCTTGACTTTATCCAAATGGATGGAAGAACACTTGTTCCGCTATTCATTTTCACAAACGTGTTAGGTAGACTACTCATTGTTTCCCTCTTGCCTTCAATATGCCCTGTGAGTGTCAAATTCTCTAAGCCTTATCACAAATCTTTCTTATTCGCCCCTTTCTTTGTCTTCCTCCGTCCGTTTGCTCAAAATTGTCAGGCCGGTTATATATTGTTTTCTTCTTATTTCACACCTGAAAAATTTCAGCCGTTTTTTTTTATGATTGTTATCAACAGTTTCTTTATAATTCCTATTCCTCATTTGTTACATACGCTGCTGCTGCTGATGTTTTTCTAAAAACTCATTGATAGAACTGCATCTTAACCGCTTCAAGTCTTTTCTATATTTCTAACAAAATTGTTCAACAGTCACTGCCATATAGAAAGCTAGACAACTTTTAAATTTATCATTTTTTTGTAATATAATTAATTGTGCATAATACGCACTTGTGTATAATGGTAATATTAATGGTAACATTAGCTGTTTCCTTATAAGGAAACTGTTATAACCTAGAAAGGGTTACTCAATGAGGAATAACCAAAACGGAGATTGGAAATGAAATGGTAATTTGTATAACATCAACAAAATACAATACTCGCCAGCGGTGTGAAGTAGGTAAACCACTGCTAGTGGTGGACGGCTTAGACAGCATATTACCCCCCTCCCCACTTGCAATAGCGTTCAACGTATTTATGAGAATTGGGACATATTCATTAGTGTTCATAGGTACACTATATAACGGAAACATTTGGCATTCATTGACCGAGTAGCCAGTACTGTTTTCGGTTGGAATTTATAAAATCCTTCTCTTAAAATGATTTTTCAAGAAAATAAGTTTCTCTAGTCCAGTAGCTGTTATCACTCTTTCCAGTATTAATAGGAGTTTCCTTTCTAACCTTTTATTTGAAGTATTGTGGAATATCAATGGAAAATGGAATATCAACATTTTGATTATACCATTATTTTGTGATATCCATTTTAGCTGTTGCTACTGTTGGAGTAATGGATAGCAGCTCCGATTGAGGAATCAGAGAGCCGAGTTCGAATTCCAGTCCTGCTGATACTTTTGGCAAAAGTATGAATCTTCTTCTTCTCCCGCTAGCTATGGGTAAATAGCAGAGCAGACCGGGTTCTAGAGCCTTGGATGGCGACTGGTCTACCGCAGAAAGAAATGGCAACCTACTGCAGGAAAAAAACTGCCTCGTCAGTCATGGATCGAAAGATACATGATCGCCTACGCATGTATCACGCACAGCACATAACTGTCTGACTGTTGAAAGTACTCGTGATGTGGTTTCTGTTTTTGGTGAAGTTCTTTGAGTGAGTGAAGCCTGAGAGTTCTTCAAAAAGACCATCCCACTTTGACCGACGCTACAACATCACAAACCTTTTTGTTTGTTTCATTTTCTTTTGAAAGATTTTTTTTGCTTCATTTACTATGAAAGCATTTTTTTTCTTTCATTTGCTGTGAAACGTTTTTTTGTAATCTTTAGTTAAAAAAAAGAAATGTTGAAAGATGACAACAATTGACAACAGATCAATCATGAATTCTTGATCTAAATAAACCAAAACATATGGGACAGTAGATATATCTTTCATGTTTGTTTATAGGAAAATTGATTGATAATTAATACCTCTTACACGGCATTGCTAACAACGGACATAGAAACAATTTTAAATGTGTATTTGGTAATATATAAAAACCTGTTCAAACATTTTTTATGTAGTTTTGCTGTCTGACAGCGTTGATTAATAGTGTTTGTTAGTCCTGCGTACTATGCCTTAGTTGCATATAAAGCAGCATTCGCTGACAGTTTGGTTTTTATTGATTGGTTCGTTTTCTATGGCTTATTAATTCTTTACAGGTTATTTAAAGCTAGAAATATTTTTTTTAGATTTTAAAATTTCGATTTTTAAGCAATAATAATGATTTAGTGATACAAGTTTTACTAATTAACCCATAGCTGGGGGAAGTAGAGATGGATTTATACCTTTCTCAAGAGTATTTGGGAGTAAGTTAATATAACGATCCTGACTGGGATTGGATCTCGGCTTGCCGATCTTCAATTTCGGATTGTTATCCATTACACCCCACCCACATATCCAATATATATTCACAAATGATCACCGATCTAGGTACTGACCGGGTTTGATGTTACTTAATTTCGGTGATGGTACGAGAACCCATGAATTGTAAGAAGACATAATATGCATGGTGGTGAGTATAAAGGACAGTTCAAGATGTAAGTTACACATTGGGATTTCGGTGATTGTATGGGAACTAGTGTTTCAACCTGATATGGCCGTAATCCTCTAGAAGTTTTCGTTACCAATTGAAATTCACAGATGCCTGAAAATAATGAAACTATGTGAGCACCCACAGAATTAGGCCTGGAAGAGGAACCTCAGTGAATACCACCAGTTGCTTCAATTGTACAAAACCTGAGTGATGATGATGACGATGATGACGACGACATGGATGACGATGATGATGAGTGTGTAAAGGTAGTCATGAGACATGGCGATGTAATGTGTTGTTATAATTGAAACAAGAAGAGAACAGACATCATTACTGTGGAAAAGGAAGGCAAAGATGGTTATTATGGTTTGTAATATGAGAACAGCATGCTTGTAAAACACAAGATAGCACGCTTTTGGAGGCTTAAGGAAATAAAAGTTTTTCTTTTTCGTTATTCTGGGTACGCTTGGAATACTTACAGAGAAAATCTAAAAAATAACTGAGTAAAATTAGAACTGTTTTTTAATCAAATCACCTCAAGCAAGGCAATAATATCACTAAGACAGAGTGTGTGCTGGGAGTGAAAAAGAATAAGAAAACATTAGAAGGAATCAGAAACCCAATCCTAAGCAGGAAACAAGGGATAAGCCTCTACTCCTGTTCAAAAGATCGAGGAGAAGTGTGAACTGGATAAAAGAAGAACCCATTTATTATTGAATTGAAATGCTTCAGAAAATAGCACTGTCAGAATTCTGAGATTTGCATTGTTGGTGTATAGAACATATCACAAGACACATAATCACTTGTTATGACCTGTTTCTGATTGATAAATTATGGCATAAGATCTGTTTGAGATAATTGAATATAATAATATGATTGTACTTTTTGTATATTTTTGATCATACTTTCATTTTTGATTGAGAGAGCGGCATGTCAGCAAAATGACCCTGGGATACAAATATACGAAGCCCAATATACCCATCATGATACCCAGGCATAAGTATCATAGACAAACGTCAAATAGCTTTAGGTCAGATAAGCCAGTCTACTGAGATAGAATGTAATTGACGCTGTTCTGAAATATCAAGTCCAATGTGAGAGGACATTTTCAAAGCTAAAGTTCATGAAGACAAGATTAAGAAAATCACTTTCTGAGGAGAATTTGGAATCCTACGTATTATTGCTATTAAGCCTTCTCATAGATATGGCAGCAGATAAAAATATCTGTTAAAAAATATGAAAAAATAAGTAAATACAAGGATCTTATAATTGAAATTTCAAAAAATGTGGCACTTTAAAACTACTATTATACCTATAATAATCAGAGTCTCAGGTATGAAAAACAAAAAACACTGGCCCAGGTATAGTCAAAAAAGATATAGACCAGAACATTAACAAGATCCCTGCTAGCCACTGTTTATAAGAGATTCAAAATCTTCAATTGTGTGAAACTGCTTCTTTATAGGAATATAAACATTTTGTATGTTAAGTATCACTTAACATCAGAATTTATGCAAAATTTATGGTGCATATCTTTACTGCCTTGCCTTACCTCAGGTCTCAAGCAATAGAGGAGGAAGAAAAAGAACTACTAACAACTATAATTTTTATAATTTATGATACTTTTTAAGAAAGTAACTATGTTTCTATGGTTTAAATTTTTCTCTGGATGTTTTGATGATCTTTGATTCATCAAAAAATCGTAAAATTTCAAGCGTTAACCAACTATAGGACAATGCTAAGGTTATATTATAATGCAAGTTACAGTTGTAGCACTCGGAACAGTGCTCTAAACTGTTCAACTGTCGAACTCTCTGCCTTGAG